CAGCTATTAAAAATAAAAGAGGGGCCAGGCATGGTGGCACAGGCCTTTAGTCCCAGCACTCTGGAGGCAGAAGCAGGCAGATCTCTGCGAGTTCGTGGCCAGCCAGGTCCCCACAGTGAATTCAGGCCAGCTGTGACTACAGGGAGACCCTGTCTCAAAAAGACCAAAGATAAAATAAATAAATAAATAGTCCCAGGAGGTGGGGCCAGCAGCGCCAGCCCCCGGTCCCTGGACTCCTGGACTAAAAAAAAATTTTTTTTGAATAAATAAATAAAAGAGGGAAAGGGGCTGGTGAGATGGTTCCTTGGGTAAAAGGGCTTGCTGTATAAGCATAAAGACATGAGTTCGGCTCCTCAGCACCTATGTGAAAGTCAGGCACATTCAAACACATCTGGAACCCCAGTGCTGGGGATGTGGAAAGACACAGATCCCCAGGGTCTCACTGGACAGTCAGTCGAATAGAAAAGATGAACTCCAGGACCAGTGAGAGACCCTGTCTCAAAAAATAAGATAGAGAAAGATAAGGAACACACCCAACACTGACTTCTGGCTTCCACAAGCACAGTGTGTGTGTGTGTGTGTGTGTGTGTGTGTGTGTGTGTGTGTAGACATACACAAAAGGGAAAAAGTGAAGTAGAATCTTAACAAACCTCCAAGTTGTGCTTTGGGATAATCTATTATGAAGGGCTAACCCATTTTCTTTCTTGAAAGAAAACTGCTGTCCAAGTCTGATTACGTGAGCTGCCTCATCCCCAGTATCCACATGATGGAAGGAGACATCTGACTCCTGCAAGTTGGTGTCTGACCTCCACATATGCTCCATGGCACCTGTGTCCCCACACACAAGTAAATAAATAAATGTAATATAAAAGAGAAAAGTTTAATAGGATCTGTCTTGGATTATATAGCTCGGTAGTAGATTGCCTGCCTAGGAGTCCCTGGTCCCCAGCACCACAAAGGAAAAGAGAAAACAAACAAACAAACAAAAAAAGAACGAAAGAGAAGAAAGCAGGCAGGCAGGCAAACCTCTAGGACTTCTGCTTGCAGACAAATGAAACAGAGCCTCTTTGATACCCAAAGTACACACAGGAACGAACTAATCCGATTCTGGTCTTTCATTCTTGGGCAGGAAAGTTGTCTAGGAAATACTTAGCTTTTCCTACTTAAAAAGGTACTCCAGGGTAAACAAGCCAAAGTTCAAACACAATAATCTGAAATATCTGAAAGGCAATATCACTGCCATTATCACCCTTCGGTTTAAAAGAAAATAACTTTTGGTCCTGGCAGTGGGGAAAGAACATTGAAAAATGCCCACAATTTCTTTACATCTGGACAGTATTCTGTCTGAGAGCTTTTTTTTTTTTTTTTTTTTTTTTTGAGTCAGGCGTGGTCTCGCAGGTCTTTAATCCCAGCACTGTCTCTGCGTTCAAGGTCAACTTGGTCTACATAACGAGTTCCAGGTCCACTGGGGCTACAGGGAGACCCTGTCTCAAAAAAGACTGAAAAAAAAACAAACAAAAAAACCACCTTTTTTTTGGTCCCCTCATCCCTACATAGGGGATCTAGGTGACCACCCTACCACTGAGCTACACCTCTACCGCTAAGGTTTTTTTTCTTTCTAAAATATGAGTTCTCCCCTCATTTTTTTTTAACCCTAAGAACTCCCATTTGTCTTTGTTTTTATTGACTTTGACAAGTCCTGGCCACAGAAGGAAAATTGCACATTTATTTACTTATTTGTAACTCTCTGCATGTCTACTTGTGACTACACTGTCTCATTAGAGAAGGTTTTGTAATATATATTATTAGCAGTGTTTCATTTAAAAAGTCAACCTCGTGCACCTATCGGATACCAACCCGCCTCTCATCACCCCAGACTAGGTGTCATATTCCTTCCAGAAACGTCTTTCCGCCCCTGCTCCCAGCGCCCTGCGGTTTGGAGCGGCCAGGTGGGCGCTCTAAGCTTCTGCTCGGTTCGTTGCCGAAGGTCTGGGCCTGCTCCTGCTCCCACCCCGGCCTCAGTTTCCTCAAGGCGGCCGCTGGGCCACTCCGAAGCGGGGACAGCCCCGCCCTGAGGGCGGAGCCGCGCGTGCTCCTCCACCTCCCTCGATTCGCCGCATCCCTTGGCGCCCGCGGCGCATGTGCCCGGCGCCCCCTCCCCGACCCTGGAATCCACTTCCTGTTCGCTCGCGCTGCCGCTGCGGCCGCGAACGGAACCCATGGCCGGGACGCGTTGGGTGCTCGGGGCTCTGCTCCGGGGCTGCGGCTGTAACTGCAGCAGCTGCCGGCGCACAGGCGCCGCCTGCCTGCCCTTATACTCCGCCGCCGGCACCTTCCCGTCGGGCATCTCGGGCCGCCGCCGCCTGCTGCTGCTCCTCGGGGCCGCCGCGGCCGCTGCTTCCCAGACGCGCGGCCTGCAGCTCGGGCCTGCGCCCTCCGGGACGCTGGCGGGTCCTGCCCCGGTCCGGCCCTCCGCTGCC